GTCTGTTTCACCAAGGTAACCTTAAGGAAACTACCGTATAGGAAATAAAAATCTGCAAGTAGGTTTACCTATTTTAAAACTTGAAGAACTTTTACTGTTGTGCACTTCGAACATCAATTTAAGCTTTCTTAAGCAGTCTTACCGCCAGATTGACGGTGTGGCCATGGGAAGCCCTCTAGACCCTATTCTAGTGGACATCTTTATAGCGCATCTCGAGGAACAGATGTCCATTGATATTGATAGTTTAGTATTCTACCGACGTTACGTTGATGACATACTCATCATCGCCACAAACAAACAACAGGCAGAGTCGTTTCACACAAAAATGAACCAAATGCACAAAAACATCACAGTGTCCCTCCCTACAACATGAAAGTAGCAACACCTTGGCCTTTTTAGACATTTTAATTAGACGTAGAGATAATGGCACTATTGAAAGGTCAGTTTATCGTAAAGACACTTGGACAGGCCAGTACATCCATTTCAACAGTTTTGCACCTTTGCCATTTAAACTTGGTCTAGTGAGGACATTATTCCACCGTGCTAGGAAGATTTGTTCCAGCGACACTCTACAATCTGAATTTGAAACGATTAAACAAACACTGCTTTCTAATGGATATCCAGGTGGTTTTATTAAGTGCCATTGCCAGCCACCTAAACCAGTGACCTTAGAAATGTCGGTGCCAAAAAAAACAAGTTTATATACACCATCTAACGTTTCGGGGAGATGACGTCATGCAACGTGTATATGACCGACTCAAAACAGCAGTCGGTCAAACCTTTTTCGCAGCCATGCCTGTTATGAGATTTAAAACCACCAGGATTCCTACGCCACCTGTAAAAGAACCAGTGTCGACGTACGCCATATCTAACTGTATATACCAATTTAAATGCACCTGTAACGCTGCATATGTGGGCAGAACTGATCGACGACTGGAGAAACGGGTTGCTGAACATATTCCACTATGGGTGGTAAAAGCAATGCAAAACACTAACACCTCAACAACAACGAATCTGGTGACTGGTCGACAAAATCGATCATCAGCAATTGCGTGCCATATTCTAAATTCCGGGCACATTATTAACAGGGATGATGCATTTCGAATTATTTACAATTCGGCCAACCGTAGATTACTCAGATACGCGGAAGCTTCCGCGATCAACCGGTTGAAACCGGATCTCTGTAGGCAGAAAGAAATGGTAGTTTCCTTAAGGTTACCTTGGTGAAACAGACAGTGTAAAATGTACTCATATTTGTGTTTCAGTTTCTAGGATTCAGCTATTTGCTTCATTTATTCACTTGTTACTGTAGTATGCACCTGACAAGATACAGCGAAATATGCCAGGCAATAAATTGTTCAGTCTATTGTTTGTGTCTTCTTTGTTCACATTCTTAAGAACCAGATCTCAGTTGCCTCCAAACTCTTCTTAATTTGTTTGCTCACATTCACCATACTAACTGCACACAACAAAACATAGGGGTTCAACTAATGAATTGATAGTTTTTTATCTGAATTATCGACCTCCTTTTTGCGTATAACTACTGGACGTAAATTTGCTTAGAAAAACCACACAACAGCCAGGGACTGTCGGGATTGGTTCTGCAACATCCTGTAAAGGATACGCAACTAACCTTATGTGTATGGGTTTTCTCATCAACTAACAAAAACACACAATCAGATAGGTCTTCGTTTTTTTTTTTTTTTTCGTTTTTTTTACAGTATTTTTTTTTACATCTTAAAATGCAGTTGTTTATTAATGTATATACGATATGTTTTTATGTTACATGTTTGCCTACCGGCTCAAAACTCTTGAGTTTGAATCCCAATTGAGAACGATTTTTTCTTAATTGACTGCCAAGTCATCCCAGCATGAAAGTAATTGGTGGTGCCTTATAAATGAAAATTCCTTATCCTAGAATTACGCAATTTAACGCTGGATACAGAAACCAGCAGGTCAGATCCCGCATACCCGGTTCAATCTATGATAAAAGTTTTATGGGGTGAGGGGATGGGGGGAGGGGAAGGGGGCTACATCAGCTTGGTGCAGCCGGCAGTCTTGTGAGGACACTTCTATACAGTGCACTCCTTATGCCCTCAATCAATTTGTTTCACAGTTCACTGCTTGCTTTCTTCTTCTTCTTCTTCTTCTTCTTCTTCTTCTTCTTCTTCTTCTTCTTCTTCTTCTTCTTCTTCTTCTTCTTCTTCTTCTTCTTCTTCTTCTTTTTCTTCTTCTTCTTCTTCTTCTTCTTCTTCTTCTTCTTCTTCTTCTTCTTCTTCTTCTTCTTCTTCTTCTTCTTCTTCTTCTTCTTCTTCTTCTTCTTCTTCTTCTTCTTCTTCTTCTTCTTCTTCTTCTTCTTCTTCTTCTTCTTCTTCTTCTTCTTCTTCTTCTTCTTCTTCTTCTTCTTCTTTTGCTTTTTCCTCTTCTTCTTCTTCTTCTTCTTCTTCTTCTTCTTCTTCTTCTTCTTCTTCTTCTTCTTCTTCTTCTTCTTCTTCTTCTTCTTCTTCTTCTTCTTCTTATTCTTCTTCCTCTATGTTCACTTTTACATATATGCAGTAACCAATTTGTTTTGTTGTTCACAGCTAGGCTGCAATATCTGCCTCTCGGCCCACCAGAGTCTTTATTATTCCCATCTTACAGCATGTTTGTTCAGTGAGCAATAGATTCATCCCTCCACCCCCTCCCTCCCTTAGCCACCCAAATGCAGCATTTCGGACACCGAAACCCACAGGGGGAACTTGTTATATTTCATATATTGTTCAACAATAATAATAATACTAATTAAAAAAAAACGCATAGTTATCCTATAGAGCTGTTTTGATTAGTTGACTGGAAAGCCCATACGCCAAAAAATTATCGATTACCCAGACGCAACAGAATTATGAATTGTTTGGTTGAACCGCAGGATATTTTGTATGGAATTATAGCAATTTCACTCATTAAATTACATGGATATTGAATGTCAAAATTTTGACTAAACAATGTTCTTTTCAGTAGATATGTCCTTTTTTTTAAATTGACTACCTAGCTTAACTAGTTCTTTATTTCCTTCTGCACATTTGTCAGTAATTAGCCTTGGGACCTATGGACATATATACTCCTGCCCTGTAAATTGGCGCAACTACATCACCCTGAAAGAGCTGCAATGTGTAGTTCTAGTAGAAGAAGCCAAGTCATTTACAGATTCACAGTCACACTGTGAAAGTTTAGGCGGTTTTCTGGTCATTGTCGGTGACTTGAAAATGGAGGCATTAATGAAAGGTAAGTTTTTTTTTGTTACACGACTAATTATTTGTTCACCAGTTTTTTATTTTTTTATTGCAACAATGAGGGACATTTCATTTTGATTTTCTCTAGTACAGGAATGGAGCAAGTAACTGGTTTGATGTTTGAGGTTTGGGGTTTGAGGTTTGGGGTTTGAACAACGTTCTTCTTCAAACTCAAGTCTGCGTCCGAAGAAGCTCAATACAGTGCACAGGCTCTGTAGCACCGGCGTGGATCCTGAAATACTTTTGGATATATTTTTAACTCCAAATTTTGCCCAGGCAGCGCCGTTACGCTACTCTTTTCGATTTCCAACTGCCACGCAGCCCCCTAGCAAGTATGGGGAAACCCGATGACAGTGATATTGAAACTTCGACTAAGTTCTTCTTACATCACAGACGACTTGCACACGGAAGAATTAATGAAAATTAAGATTTTCTTGCCATATATTAAAGATCACTAGAAACATTAGAAATTATTTTTTTTCAATAAGGCATTTGGGTCAGTACTAACACTGAAGAAATAAGGAACAGCACTTCGAAAAAAAAAAAACTTTTAAGAACAACTTGAACACTTACTATTAAACTACAAACATTCATTAACTGGTGCCTGGGCATAATAGACGGAATTAAATGGTTTGATAAAATCATGTAGAGCTTTGGGAGATAATTAAGCGAGTTCCACTGAATCCAGAGGTGAAGAAAAGACGCTGGCTTCTGGCATGTATTACATTGAGAAAAGCTGAGGACAATATAAATAAAACATCGCTACACATGAACACAGAGGGACACATAAAAAACACACACATACTCACACACGCGCGCACACAGAAGGGATCTAGAGAATTGAGTATAATTGATTTGATTTGATTCAAGAACCGACATCACAACACTCGGGGCATTCCAATAAGCGCCCCGACCCTATCTTCAGCAGCCAGCGAAAAGTTCCAATACTAATGGTGCCAGTAGCATTCTAATTAAACTTCCGTCTTGCTTTTCCTCTGAGCCTCGAGCATCTGCCAGAACCTCTCGTCACTCCTAACTACATCAGTCTCACCACACTGTGATGATCAATCTGCGCCTCCGCATTGTACACGCTCTCCCACAAGGCACTAACCACGTCTGCCATATCATGTAGCAGTATTCCACCAAGCTGTGCAGAGCCAGCCAGTTTGTCCGCCTGTTCATTTCCCAACACACCAGCCCTGAAAAAAAAATTTAGTCTAAAAGGATAGGTAAGACATGGGGACCGCTACATACAATAGCTAAGGCTAGTTGGCGGGAGTTGCTTGAGGGAGCTAAATAATCACAATATAAATATTATGATGAATATCTTTTCATATAATAATATAATTGACATAACTTGAAGTTTTTAAACATATACTTTACAGGAGAACTGGTCAGTCGCGTAGCCTCCTATTAATTTCTCTAGGGCTGTCCGTAAGCCCTACAATTTTTCTTGCGGTTGCTGGGAGCCCTCAAGTGGCATAAGAACCCGGGTTGTGTGTCGCTGACAATGGATGGAATCCCATCTAGCCTCTTCGGCTTCTCTCATCAGCCTTCGTCTTAAAGAGTTTCTTGTGAATGTCAACGTCTTCTCATTTAGTTTGTTTCAAATTTTAGTTCCTTGGGGGGGGGGGGGGGAGGTGGGGGGTTGTTAAGCGTAAGATAGAAACTATGAGCTATCTTCCGTTGTCTTTATTTCCTATTAAAAGTAAAGTCTCAATTGTTTTTCAGAATTGCCCTATGACCCTAGGGGCCGTTACTGGATCGGCCTAAGCAAAGACATCGGTAGCACATCGTTGTTCTATTGGCAAAAACAGAATACAAAGATTCCGGTAAGTTGTTTACAGCGACTAGCGCTAACATATTTGACCAGTGTTCACTGTGTTGTTTGTGCCTTTTCGTCTTTCCAGACTCAACACTACAACACAGTCGTCTTGCCAACCCTGTGCTCTCACTGACACACCCGGACAATGACAGCAGACGAGAAAACATAAAGAGAGAAGATCAGAAACAATGAAATATTAAGGCAAATATGGATAGTGGCAGCTCTGTCATTATCAAAGAAAAAGTACATTTGTTTTACCTTATAGTGGATGCTATCAAACGTATACCACATCAAGAAATAATGTAAGACCAAACGAGTAGCGAAGAAGAGGCCGACCATGCAAAAATGGACAGAGGCAATAACAGAGTCACTGAAAATCCTTATTTACGAAGCGCACTTTCTTGTAAATTACACATCACTTTGACACCAAAAGGTGCACAAAGGATTAGGATGAGATGAATGTCCACAAATATAGTTTTTAATCCCCCAAAACAAGCGTATGGCCCATTGGCTAGAGGGCTAGCATCTCTAGGAAGAGCAGGGTTCGAATTTTCAATAAGGTGCTGATAGCTTTTGTTTGCGGGAGAAAAACTATCTTAATCTGTATAGTTTATAGATACTGCACCTTTCATGAGCCCCATCAATACCCTTTGCTATTCACAGGCCTAAAAATTGTAAGCTAAGGCAGTGAAGACAGATCACCCAAAGATAATTCACGATCTATTGTCTCGTTTCTTCTTTCTTCTTTACGTCCTCTTTTACCGCTTCCGGTACCGATGGGGATATAAGGTCCTGTGCCGACTTTTTCTCGTAATTCCTTATTCCTGATTTTATCTCGTCTAGTCACTTCTGCAGCCTTTCTCAGACACATCATTTCCATGGTTATTAATTTTCTATTATCTTTTGCTGTGAGTGACCACGTCTGGCACTGGTAGCATAGGGTGGGAATGAATATGCTTTGTATGAGATGTCTCTTTGTGCTGATTGGGATTACCTTATGCTGTAAGAGGGGAGCTAGCTGTCCCGATACTTAGCCTGCTTTACTGTATGGGATGTCAATTTCTTCGTCCAATTTACCATATTCAGTGAATGTTGTTCCAAGATATTTAAACTCAAATGCCTTCCCCTTTCGTCCTATGGACAAGTTCGCATAATACATGAGCTACATTTATACTTATTCTTCTGCTCCTGAACTTAAACTGGGGTGGTGGTGGTGGTGGAAAAGGGGGCGTTGGGTGAGGGTAGTACGTTGTCTTGTTTTTTACAGATAGGTTAGGATATTTGCACTGTTCGGTGCAACACATCCCATCTCAGCAAGCCATTAATCAGTCGCCTTAGATGATTTGCTTGTTGGGGTGTACTGTGACTATTACCCCTGAACCCATTCCCCTCACTCATCTACACATACCCCCCCCCCCCCCTCTCCTCACCCACAATTTAATGAGAAAGAACCCTTTTCCACGCTTGTTCTTGCATATAGGGCTAGCCATATATTTTAGACCAATCGGCCCTCGGTGGGTGATGTAGTCAGCATCACATCGGTCGCCTTTATTTCCCAGGTCTTTACCTAGCTCCCATTTCAGGCTGAATCGACCTGAAAGCCACCCACAGTCCTTTTTAAACGCTTGACCTTCAGATCCGCAGGCGGAAGTTTAGCCGCTACAGCACAACGGCTGCCTGCTTTAAGGAAAAACTACTTGTTATTTTTCAGGAGGACGTTAACAGAATTAGACAGCACAGAAGTGATCAGCTGGAAAAATGCGGGTACCTAGCACGCTTCAACGAAATACTGAGCATAGAAATGGAAGAATGCGATACCAAGCACTTCTCTGTATGCCAAAAGGAAGCATGTAAGTCAAACGTCATGAATCCCATCATTTTATTTTTCTAGGTAAAAGTAAAAAATAAAAAAGGTAAAGTGGGGAGATGTGAACCAGTGTCATTGCACACGGTTATAAACCATAAGTGCTCTGCCCTCAGTACGGACAGCTGATAAGAAACTGTCCGTCTGTGTCGCTGTCCGCACGCAACTCCGTAGCTACAGCGACGTTCCTCCATTTACCCCAGAGTTTTAACCCTGGTACCCATTACCTACAGGCTTCGTGCACTCCAGGAACCGCCCGGTTTCGAACACCGGTTGTGGACTGCAGCTGAAAAGCGAGTCTCCTATCGACTGCGCTAACACAGCCGCTTTTTGTTTTTCTAAGGCCTGGCTCTAGTAAATACTGAATTTCTGTACGTAAGAAAGTAAAGACATTGGCGCTAAGGGCATATGTTACTATAGTACATCCCAAAAGTGGTAAAAATTTGTAACCCAGTAACTGTTCGCTGTCCAGTGTTCAAATTTGGCACTCAGCCTGTAAATAATCATGTTCATGTAAGAATTTTTGTTTCATATAAACATTTACCTAGTTTTAATTTTGCCTAATTTTCCGTACATGAGGGAGTCATCGTGGCGGAGCAACTAGACGCTCGCCGCGGATCGGAAGGTCGTGGGTTCGCTCCCTGGCGAAGCCGGACTTTTTTTAAAACTGACCATGGCTCCCAGGTCGACCCAGCCTTGAGTGGGTACCGGGTGCAGTCCCGGGAAGTGGAGGCGGCCGGCATGATGCTGACCACATTACCCACCTTGTGCCGAATGGTCTATAAAATATAGGTCTAGCCCTTTATGCCCTATATGCCTAAAGGCGTGGAAAAGGGTCCTTTACTTACTTCGGTACATGAAGAAACATACACCGATTTAAGGCAAATATTCCTCATGCTTACAGTTAGATACCTGATTAACACGAACTTTTCAAAATATCTGACTGCACACGTTTGACAGACTTTTCACTCTCTGGTGATAATCTCCGGCATTAGTCTCATGTAAGTAATATTAACATAATGTTTCATTGTGTACGGGATATGCTATCAAAATAATCACCATACATCGCTGCAGGTGTGGACTGATTTGCAAACAATCTCCACACTTGTATCGATTACTGTATATTCATATTCAGAGGTATACAAATTATTAAAAGCTCAGATAAATTCGCCGCTTTAAGAAAGCAGCAGCACCAGTACAATTGTAATTGATACAATTAAAAGGACATGGACAATCTAAGGCTAGGTGCCAAAATTCGCTTTGATCCGTAAAGGAATTTTTTAGATATTTATAAATGTTTGAAGGAACGACTTTTGAAACAAACTATATACATTTGGTATATTCGGCACAGTGGCTACGTCGATGCGAACGCTTCGTAATGCCGGGATGCCGGGTTCGATCCCAGCTGTGAGCCATGCGCCTTGCTTTGATTTCGACCGCGGTATCAAGAAAGCCGACCGTCCAGAAACAATGGCAAACTACTGGACGTACATTTGCCTATAAAAACCACACAACAGCCAGGGGCTGTTGGGGTTGGTTCTGCAACGTCCTGTAAAGGATATGCAATAACCTATATTCGGCACTCTATGTGGTCAACAACAGGCTGGCTTCTTCCCATGAATTTTCCCGGAACTGTGTTAGGTTTGGGTGAATTGAAGGGATGGGTAAGTTTTCTTTGTGGCACAGTTAATCTTCGTGTCGACATTTCCCTGGCCACGAGAGGACGATAAATAGTTGGGGGGGGGGGGGGGTGTGAAATACAAAGAAGTAGAGGCCGACCTTAGCAAAAGTGGATAGAAGACATGGACTATGTACTGGCTATGAAAGCGCATAGTGCAGGACACTTGGCCAAAGAAAGTGATGTCTCAGTCGTGCCCCGAAGAGAGCGACGTTCTGTGAAGGACCTGTTGTTTATAATGATGATGACGATGGTTGGAAGTATATTAAACAGGATGAATTCAAGAAATATGAAGAAATAAACGAAAAGTCTTAACACTCAGTTGTATCGACTATTATAAGACAGATTAGTTGGTAAACCTCGATTTACAATGCTGATGATGATGACGTGGAGGAGTCTCTTAGCGTCGATTTCATATGTTTATAATTGACTTTATACAATAAGGACGCTATTGTAAATTTACAGTATGTAAACCAGGATATTTTGGCCGAGATTGCGAGCGGCGGTGTCACTGTGAGGCAGAGCCTTGCGGCTCACAGCAGTTCTATTTGCCAGGAGGTGTCACCTGCAAGTTTGGTTGTCAGACCAACTGGACAGGAAAAGCTTGTGACAGAGGTGAGTTAATATCGTGAATATCAAACCATACGGCACGCTGAATAATCAGCTTCAAATTATCACAAAAACAAACAATTAGTAAGTAAGTAAGTTTTATCCCCACCAGGGCATCAGACAGAGTGATAAACAGCCGGTGACACAAAGTTCCACCATTCGGATGAGGATCACCGTGGAGAGGTCCCAGAAACCCCTCTCAGCCGTTATGGTCACAATCGTGGCCTAGCTATTCTCGGGACCCTGGCAAAAGCCAGGGTGGCGTTTCAAATAACGCAAAATTGCTTCCACAAGGGGATGACTTTGATAGTATGACTGATAATTTGTAACAAAAGGAAACGTTGCGGTTAGAGTCGTCATCGGCACGTTTATACATCTGCATTACTACAAATACAAATACAAATAATAATATGCCAAATTACTTAATTGACGAATCTCCAATATAAATCACATTGCTGTCCGGACAGTAAAAAATCGAGACGTGTGAGGTCACAGAAGATACATACGAGCCATAGAACGCCGTGAGCTATAAGGGCCGTAAAAAATAGATGTGAGATAAAAAGATATTGAATGTTAAGTCCCTTTAGCGAATTGGCGCCCATGAGCTGGATAAATCGGTTCTCAGGATACCTACGGACTGTTCCACAGAGTAGCTAGATTGAATGGCCGTGCCTCCATGTTGAGGTATGATACATCAAACCCATTCTATAAATGTTTGTCTACAAAACTTGGTTTAAACCAAAAAGAGTGGAGGGGGTTAGTGGGGATAAAATCTTTTCTGTTGTTGAAAGCTAACTCTCACAATATTGCAGTAAACACACGGAAATGTCAAGTATCATGTGTCATGCTGTATGTTTACTACCTCGTGTGGGTTTCTGGGTCTCATTTCGAGTTTGGAAAAAAAAGAGAGGGGGTGGGAGAATGGTTGAAATTCACTAACTTTTCCTTACCAAGCATTTCCTAAAAACAACTAATTAGGAGACTGCTAAAATCGGTTAAGTTTGGTCGACCGGCGCCATATCGCAGCCTAACTGTAAACCACAAAACCACGCATCAACGGCATTCCTAGAAGCAAATGCAGATAAGCAAGGATTTTTTTTTTGGGGGGGGGGTGGGGGGGGGCATTTACATGATGTCTTTAAAAAGCATTTAAAGAGGAAACGATCGTCTTAGGTGTCGTTGTTATATTGGTATGCATAGTTCATGTGTTTTGTCATTCTTTGTTAAACATCTGCCGAATATTTCTATAAAATACATAGAGTGGGTATGGAAAGTGTCACTAGCAACTATTGAGGCCTATCACCACAAAACTACGGACACATTTATTGGTTCTCTGAACGCTTTCTCAATATCTTCACAAGCGTACCTCTACTGTTAACACCAATTATGAAATGTCCTTAACTGGAATATATAGCAAATTGGTCTACCTTTTAACAGTGAATGACTCAAATTTAGACTTCAATTCTGGAGGCGTACTGATGGTGTCAAAATCTCTGGCTGTAGCCTTTTGCATTTAATACATGTGTATGTTGTTGGCTTTGCTAAGACTGCAGTCTGCCCAACTTTTCCTGTGATACATCCATGGATATTGTGTGTGGTTTTCTGTGTCAAAAGAAACGAAGTAATCATCTAATTAACTACTAATGAAAGTAAAGTCTGTTTCCAGTAACTATTCTATTTCTCCCAGTCAGTAGAATCATTATTATTTTGCCAATTCTTTTATCTCCCTTCTCTCTCCCCGCCCGCCCCTTTTTTTTTTACTACCTAAAGTTATTACACCCTGAGATTACAGAAATAGCAAAATGGATTGCGAAACAACAGGGCTTGTCCAAATTACATCGTGCAAACTCCACGGGAGTTATTATAATTCGGGCACCTAAAACGGCTATACGAACCTGGTGCAGCCTTTATTCCTGTGCGGACACGGATGATAGCATTATACATTGACTGACAAGTATAGGCATCCTTCAAGGCTATGGCAACATGAGTACCTCTCCTTCGTCGTTCGCTAGAAATAAATTATCTGCGATGTTGTCACTAGTATGATCTTCACTGTTTTTGTTATTCGCTTAGCAGCTTGTATAGTTTAGCCTTTACCTGTGTCTCTCTTGGCCAGAATTTTTGCCTATAAATGTTGTATTTGGGACATTCTTGAAAAATGTTATCTGTTGGCTCAGGTGCCAGTCTACATGTGTACATGGCTGATTCGCCAATCTTAAATTGTTTGTACACATGACTGTGAAGTCGAGTGTGTCCTGTTCTAAGGCGTAGAATAATGACTCGCTCTGGTCTGTCCATTATATGGTAATCGTTTTGTGCCAGTCTTAGTGGCTTTCTGATTGGTTTTATTGTCATATTCTTCTGTCTCTCTATCTATCTTTTTATACCCCACCAGGACATCACACAAGCGATAAACACCCGATCACACAAAGTGCCACCTTGTGGATAAGGATCACCCGTGGAGAGGTCACAAAAACCGCGTTCAGCCATTAGACCATATTTATGGCCGGGCTATTTTGCGGATCCTGGCAACAGCCAGAGTAGGGCTTCAAATAACGAAAAGCTGCATCTCACAAGGAGATGACTGTGAAAACACATATTATTCTGTGACTGACTGACTTGACTTTCTACCCCACCAGGACATCACACAAGCGATAAACACCCGATGACACAAAGTGCCACCATGTGGGTGAGGATCACCGTGGAGAGGTCCCAGAAACCGCGTTCAGACAATTGGCCATAGCTATGGCCTGCCTATATTGCGGCCCCTGGCAAAAGCCAGAGTGGGGCTTCAAATAACAAAAAAATTACATCCTAAAAAGGACGTAAGGATTTGAAACTATGTTACTGTAAGGTCTGACTGACTGAATTTCTACCCCACCAGGACATCACACAAGCGATAAACACCCGATGACACAACTTGCCACCATGTGGATGAGGATCACCGTGGAGAGGTCCCAGAAACCGCGTTCAGACATTTGGCCATAATGATGACCTGCCTATATTACGGCCCCTGGCAAAAGCCAGAGTGGGGCTTCAAATAACAAAAAATTACGTCCTAAGAAGGACGTAAACGATAATATATTTAATAGTATAGTAGTAAATGAAGTGTTAGGTGAGTGAGTGACTTTCTACCCCACTAGGACATCACACAAGCGATAAACACCCGATGACACAACGTGCCACCATGTGGATGAGGATCACCGTGGAGAGGTCCCAGAAACCGCGTTCAGACATTTGGCCATTTTTATGGCCTGCCTATATTGCGGCCCCTGGCAAAAGCCAGAGTGGGGCTTCAAATAACAAAACATTACGTCCTGAAAAGGATGTAAGGACTTAATGTTAGGTTGGATTGGATTGGCTTTTTACCCCACCAGGACATCACACAAGCGATAAACACCCGATGACACAAAGTGCCACCATGCGGATGAGGATCACCGTGGAGAGGTCCCAGAAACCGCGTTCAGACATTTGGCCATAATGATGACCTGCCTATATTGCGGCCCCTGGCAAAAGCCAGAGTGGGGCTTCAAATAACAAAAAAAAAACGTCCTAAGAAGGACGTAAGGAATATATAAATGTTAGGTCTGACTGACTGACTTTCTACCCCACCAGGACATCACACAAGCGATAAACACCCGATGACACAAAGTGCCACCATGCTGATGAGGATCACCGTGGAGAGGTCCCAGAAACCGCGTTCAGACATTTGGCCATAATAATGACCTGCCTATATTGCGGCCCCTGGCAAAAGCCAGAGTGGGGCTTCAAATAACAAAAAATTACGTCCTAAGAAGGACGTAAATGATTAAGTAACAAAAAATGTTAGGTCAGGTTGAAATTACTGTTATATATCGCTTTGCATTTCAGAACTGAAAGTTCCTGTTATAAAATATTACTGCATTAATTCGGCAAAAAGTGGCAAATTCGTCAACATCAGGATTGACACCAAGGGCGTGAAATACAAGTATTTATTTTATTTTTGATCAATGCATTTATTTACAAGATTATATTTTTTTCCCGGGCATAACTATACAATTTGACTGGTGATTCAGATTTATTTTACTATCTCCCTGGAGTTAAATAAACAAACGGTTAAATGTTACAGGTTAAAGTTGGGAGGATCGGTTACGCTGCAATGTGTTTTATTGCTTATGGTTCGGTTTCTCTCTCTCCTCCATCTCTCCCCTGCCTCTCCCCTCCCCTCTCTCTCTCTCTCTCTCTCTCTCTCTCTCTCTCTCTCTCTCTCTCTCTCTCTCTCTCTCTCTCTCTCTCTCTCTCTCTCTCTCTCTCTCTCTCTCTCTCTCTCTCTCTCTCTCTCTCTCTCTCTTCCTCAATAGAACGGCTAGCTATCTACAAAGAGTGTCGCACACACAAAAATACCCCCCTGTGGAGTACCAGGGGCCATAACTAGGGGGTTAGAGATGAAACTGCTCCTCATTCTTTCTTCTTCATCATCTTTTTCTTCTTCTTCTTCTTCTCTTCTTTCTTTCATTTTTTCTTTCTTTCTTTCTTTTTTTTTCTTTCTTCATTTCTTTCTTTCCTTCTGTCTGCATTTTTTTTTTATATTTACTTTCGGTCTATTATCTGTTAACAAATAGTAATCTACTTATATCCAGTTTCGTCCTTTTTAGGACGAAATCTTTTGTTTATAAATCATTACGTCTTTTTCAGGACGTATTTTTTTGTTATTTGAAGCCCCACTCTGGCTTTTTCCAGGGGCCGCAATATAGGCAGGCCATAAAAATGGCCAAATGTCTGAACGCGGTTTCTGGGACCTCTCCACGGGTGATCCTCATCCACATGGTGGCACTTGTGTCATCGGGTGTTTATCGCTTGTGTTATGTCCTGGTGGGGTAGAAAGTCACTCACTCACTCAAATCTTTTGTTATTTGAAGCCCCACCCTGGCTTTTACCAGAGGCCGCAAAATCGGCATGCCATAAATATGGCCAATTGTCTGAACGCGGTTTCTGGAACCTCTCCACAGTGATCCTCATCCACATGGTGGCACATTGTGTCATCGGGTGTTTGTCGCTTGTGTGATGTCCTGGTGGGGTAAAAGTCAGTCAGTCAGTCGTTTTATTTGTCTTCTATCTTTTGTCTTCCTTTCTTTTCCTTCTTTCTTTCTTTGTTTCTTTCTTTATTTCTTACTTTCTTTCATTCATTCATTCTTTTTTTTTTTTTCGTTTTCTTATGCTTGCGCTCAGAAAAAAAAAGCGGGTGCCACGCTGTATTATGGTTTACAGCGAGACTGCGCCACCAACGCCTTAAGCGCGACGGTACGATTTCAACTTTAAGACGAGACAACAGCCGACCCATTCGATTGTGGACACAGAATGTTGAAGACATACTAAGTATGAAAATGTGTGAGCAATGGTAGTGGGAAAAAAGGAGAGGACGTAAACTTATTTTGCCACCTGAAGAGTATGCTATTTGTCTTATAAAAGTTTCTCTACAAATAGAGTATGCTATTTGTCTTATCAAAGTTTCTATGTGTGCATACGTTTACCTCTCTTGCTGTCTGTCTGCCTGTAGCGTACTGAATTATATTTGTAGTAAATACAATACAGAATTACCCCCCACCCCCCAACCCCCACCTTTTACCAAAAAAGACTAATATATTGAATGTACGTCTTCTAAAACTTGCCGTGACTGTTTCAATGAAATTAATTTTTTTTTTTTTTTGGTAGTAAACAAAAAGATCATGTGAAAAATTTGAAGCTACCCAATTAGGCGCCCAATCTTGATTTTCCAATTCGGGAGCGGGGGAGGGCGTGTACAGCTGACCTTGGCAATGACAATGCGTTTTATTTCAGCGAAAGGGTTCATTTTTCTGCTACATTATTTGCTAATTTAACTCTGTAGTAATGCGACTGGCGAGACCCAGGCAAATGTACCACAACAAATTGTGCAGTGTATTGCTTGCGTCCGCATTATTTATTAAATTAAAATAAAACAAATTTACCCTGACAGCACCATCTACGGTCTGACGTCAAAGAAGTCGAGAGGCAACTGGTGCGACTCTACAGTTATCGATGTCCAGGACTCGAATCTAACCACCATCAGAATCCCTGTCAACAACGGCACTACTGTACAAATGGCTCACGGGGCCTGCGCTGGTCAGGTCTGTAGAACTCAGTGTGTCTCTTTTTCAAATTCTGAAGCAGTCACCGGAGATCATGACTAAACAGTTCTGTCAGTTATTGTTAACGTCCTCACGTCCTTAGGACGTAATTTTTTGTTATTTGAAGCCCCACTCTGGCTTTTACCAGGGGCCGCAATATAGGCAGGCCATAAATATGGCCAATTGTCTGAACGCGGTTTCTGGGACTTCTCCATGGTGATCCTCATCAACATGGTGGCACTTTGTGTCATCGGGTGTTTATCGCTTGTGTGATGTCCTAGTGGGGTAGAAAGTCAGTCAGTCAGTTATTATACTGTCGGTCTTGATTTCAATGTTATATGTTGCTCAGCGATTTAAGCTTTCTATAAGCAGTGGGACTCCAACATTCGTGCACATTAATATTTGTCTTTTTTTTTTTTTTTTTTTCGTTCTGTTTTTTTCCCCCTTACATTATTTCATATTTTCCAGGAAATTCAATACTAGTCCAACATTCGACGTCTGACTGACTGACTTTCTACCCCACCAGGACATCACACAAGCGATAAACACCTGATGACACAAAGTGCCACCATGCGGATGAGGATCGCCGTGGAGAGGTCCCAGAAACCGCGTTCAGACATTTGGCCATATTTATGGCCTGCCTAAATTGCGGCCCCTGGCAAAAGCCAGAGTAGGGCTTCAAATGACAAAAAATTTCGTCCTGAAAAGGACGAAACTGGATATGTTTTAACATTCGACGTGGCCGGTGAGGATGTTAATAGCCCGAATCGCACAACACAAGAGCTACTCGTGATTCGTAAAGAACAGGAAGCTGAAGCAATAAGATAAATTTAACAAGACGAGGAAAAACAAGAAAATGCGCCGGTACCAAAGGCTTAAAATAAAGTGTGACGTTCATGTTTTGACCGAGAATTTGCAAACTAACATCGCTGTAGTTAATCAGCGTAACAGTTCATTTGATGACAATGTGTTGGGACACTTTCAGAAAATTCAAACGAAAAACCCACACACATTGGACCTCTTTCAAAAAATTTTTTAAAAACGAGTGCTGTTGAATCGCCTGAAAATGCTGATGAGTACAAGGATATCAATCACCAGAAGTGACATTACCTGATGGTATAATGAAAGGAGGGACATTAGCTGATGGCATAATGGAAGGAGTGACATTAGCTGATGGCATAATGGAAGGAGTGACATTATCTGAAGGCATAATGATGGAAGTGACATTACATGATAGCATAATGGAAGAAGTGACATTACCTGATTGCATAATGATGGAAGTGACATTACCTGATGGTATAATGGAAGAAGTGACATTACCTGATGGCATAATAGGAGACGTGACATTACCTGATGGTATAATGATGGAAGTAACATTACCTGATGGTATAACGGAAGGAGTGACATTACCTGATGGCATGATGGAAGAAGTGACATTACCTGATGGCATAATGGAAGGAGTGACATTTCCTGATGGCATAATGGAAGGAGTGACATTATTTGAAGGCATAATGGAATGAGTGACATTACCTGATGGCGTAATTGAAGAAGTAACATTACCTGATGGCATAATGGAAGGAGTGACATTATCTGAAGGCATACTGATGGAAGTGACATTACATGATAGCATAATGGAAGAAGTGACATTACCTGATTGCATAATGATGGAAGTGACATTACCTGATGGTATAATGGAAGAAGTGACATTACCTGATGGCATAATAGGAGATGTGACATTACCTGATTGCATAATGATGGAAGTGACATAAACTGATGGTATAATGGAAAGAGTGATATTACCTGATGGTATAATGGAAGAAGTGACATTACCTGATGGTATAATGGAAGAAGTGACATTATCTGATGGCGTAATGGAAGAAGTGACATTACCTGATGCATAATGGGAGACGTGACATTACCTGATGGTATAATGGAAGAAGTGACATTACCTGATGGCATAATGGAAGAAGTGACATTACCTGATGGCGTAATGGAAGAAGTGACATTACCTGATGGCATATTGGAAGAAGTGACATTACCTGATGGCATAATGGAAGGAGTGACATTACCTGATGACATAAATGAAGGAGTGACATTACCTGATGGCATAATGGAAGGAGTTACATTACCTGATGTCATACGGGAAGGAGTAACATTACATGATAGCATAATGGAAGGAGTGACATTACCTGATGGCATAATGGAAGGAGTGACATTACCTGATGGCATATTGGAAGAAGTGACATTACCTGATGGCATAATGGAAGGAGTGACATTACCTGATGACATAAATGAAGGAGTGACATTACCTGATGGCATAATGGAAGGAGTGACATTACCTGATGGCATACGGGAAGGAGTGACATTACATGATAGCATAATGGAAGGAGTGACATTACCTGAGGGCATAATGGAAGTAGTGACATTACCTGATGGCCTAATGGAAGGAGTGACATTACCTGATGGCATAATGGAAGAAGTGACATTACCTGAGGGCATAATGGAAGGAGTGACATTACCTGATGGCATAATGGAAGTAGTGACATTACCTGATGGTATAATGGAAGTAGTGACATTACCTGATGGCATAATGGAAGTAGTGACATTACCTGATGGCATAATGGAAGTAGTGACATTACCTGTTGGCATAATGGAAGTAGTGACATTACCTGATGGCATACGGGAAGGAGTAACATTACATGATAGCATAATGGGAGGAGTGACATTACCTGATGGCATAATGGAAGAAGTGACATTACATGATGGCATAATGGAAGAAGTGACATTACCTGATGGCATACTGATGGAAGTGACATTACCTGATGGCATAATGGAAGGAGTGACATTACCTGATGGCATAATTGAAGGAGTGACATTACCTGATGGCATAATGGAAGAAGTGACATTACCTGATGGCATAATGAAAGAAGTGACATTACCTGATGGCATAATGGAAGAAGTGACATTACCTGAGGGCATAATGGAAGGAGTGACATTACCTGATGGCATAATGGAAGGAGTGACATTACCTGATGGCATAATGGGAGACGTGACATTACCTGATGGCATATTTTAAGGAGTGACATTACCTGATGGCATGATGGAAGGAGTGACATTACCTGATGGCATAATGGAAGGAGTGATATTACCTGATGGCATAATGGGAGACGTGACATTACCTGATGGCATATTTGAAGGAGTGACATTACCTGATGGCAAAATGAAAGGAGTGACATTACCTGATGGCATGATGAAAGAAGTGACATAACCTGATGGCATAATGGAAGGAGTGACATTATTTGAAGGCATAATGGAATGAGTGACATTACCTGATGGCGTAATTGAAGAAGTGACATTACCTGATGGCATAATGGAATGAATGACATTATCTGAAGGCATACTGATGGAAGTGACATTACCTGGTGGCATAATGATGGAAGTGACATTACCTGATGGCATAATGGAAGAAGTGACATTACCTGATGGCATAATGGAAGGAGTGATATTATTTCATGTTATAGTGGATGTAGTGACATTACTTGATGTGATAATAGAAGGAGTGACATTTCCTGATGGCATAATGGAAAGAGTGACATTACGTGTTGTCTCAATGGAAGAAGTGATTTTATCTGATGTTATAATGGCAGGAGTAACATTAATTGATGTAATAATGGGAAGTGACCCCACCCTGCCCCGCCCCCCCCCCCTTTCCTTTTTTTTCTCTAAACTTTTTTTCCAATCCACAATAAAATTTCTGTGTTTTTAAACTTGTGTTTTTTTTAGGTCTGTACCGAATATTCGCTTCGTATTCGCTTCGGGGCCGAATAGTGGACCTATTGACTATTCGGTATTCGGCCGAATAGTAGCGGTCGGGCCGAATACGAATAGTAGTTATCTTACACCCGCTTCTGCATACACAGCCTTAATACTGGCATCATGGAACGATTAGTTTTGTTGAAAGCTGATGCAGCTTTCCTGCATTAACTAAGCTGTCAGTGACAATTTCCAAGTTTAGTTACTTGTTATATAATACTTAGGATTCTTTCATTCCTAGTTAATATTTACCACAGACTGACTGAAGGATGCAAAACATAAAATGTTTTTAAATTTTACTTTTCTGTATGAATACTAACTAGACATGAAAAGAATATAAACTCCGGCCACATCCAAGTCGATAATATGAAAATGAAACGAACGGAAACAAATAAGTATTTGGGTGCAAACTTCAACTGCTCCAACATGCTGAGAGAAGAAATACAACCTAGAATACAATCTAGAAATAAAGTATTCTATGCCCTTCAACATCTACTTAAGTCAAAGTTTCTGTCTCGCAACACCGAGATCAAAATATATAAAATGTTGAAAAGACCAGTCGTTTTATATGGCTCTGAAACTTGCAGAAATAAAAGGGATGGACCCATTGAAAATGCTAACAGCGGGGAATAGAGAGTGAGAAACAATAACGTAACACATAATCTGTATAAATCTTCATTGATCACTGGCATCATGAGAGCTAACAGACTAAAATGGTTGGAGCATTTGGAAAGAATGCCAGATGACAGAGAAGTAAAATGGTATACACCTGAGAGAGGAATGGGAGTAGACCACGAGGCAGACAAAAAGAAATGTTCGAGAGATAATGTCCAGCCAGACCTGCAAACAACTGGTGTCACAAATTATGAAGATAAGGCCAACCAGAGAGATGAAAAGAGACGAATGATATCTGCAGCAGTAAACCTCAAGGGCTCAGAATGCTAAAGAAGAAGATGACTATTATGTGCTACTTTATATGAAGTAAAAATTCAGCGTACATTTTACATTATAAATGTGTGGTTTTTAAAAAAAAATTTTAAGATATATTTTATACACTGTTCGTATTCGTATTCCTATTCGGCCGAATAGTTGGTCCCGCTTTCCGTATTCGGCCGAATAGTGAAAATCACTATTCAGTACAGCCCTAGTTTATATACGAGTATTTATGCAGGCATACAGTATATTTATGTCTTTATGGACTAGCTAATCTTTGTAGTGGTTAATATGTTATTAAAATGTCAATCAATCAATCCTCATAGCGCCCAGAGGCACATAGGGCAGAGTCAAACTGTCGCCACTCAGTTCGATCCCGAGCCATCCTGTCTCTAGTCTTGTCCATCGCGTAGTCTTGAGTTCAGCCTCAAGGCTTCGCCTCCAAGTGCCTCTCGGCGTGCCTCTCCCTCGCTTTCCTTGAGGTGTCTATTGCAATGCCTGTCTCGGTCGTCTCTCTTTCTTCCTTCTGAGGACGTGTCCAATCCACGTCCATCTTCGTTTTTTTTTTTTTTAATGTATTAGCAATAAAATGACATTGGCTCCCAAGTCGACACAGCCTTAAATGGATACCAGGTAAAGTCTTGGGAAAGTAAAGGTGGCCAGCGAGATGTTGACCTTATTACCCCTCGAGGTCTGTCGACTGATCTCTCAAATATGTTTCTTGGCTCGTACGCCATATGTATCTTTCATGAGTAAAAGGATTTTTACTCTTATAGTTAAATGTTACATGCTAAAATGTTACATAGAACCTATTCTGCTGTATGGCAGCGAATATTTTAAGGTCAATGAAAAAATTAGGAAGAATTTGGAAGCAACTGAGATGAGGTTTCTGAAATGTATGTTACGAATACCTTGGAAGGCCAGAGCAACTAACAACGATTACTTGAAAGAAGCTAATGGAAGTAAATTTCTATATACAACAACAACAAAAGAGACAAACTGTAAGAGAGACACTGGAGAACATTGTGACAACTGGAAAGATCAGTGGAGAAAGGGGTAGAGGCAGACCATGAGAGATGATACTGGATGGGCTGAAACGATGGCATGGAGGGATATCATCAAGAGAGCTGTTAAAGTCAACCAGGGATCAGGATCTGTGGGGACGCGTGAGCGACTACGCCAGTTGGCAGGGCAGATGATGATGAGTCAAATGTAAAAACTAACAATGCTAAGTGTTATCATGTCTGATAAGATAGTAAAGTCTGTGCCGTTTCCCGAGCCAAGTGATCTGCTTGCAGCACGTGGGAGAGGACACGTTCAGGTGGCAGATCATACTGAAGGAGTTCGACGGGGTTCTGCTGGAGAATGATGTCAAGGTCAATGTCACCTGCAACTTCAGTGTGGCCGAAAACTTGCTCCGTTCTGGGCAATATACCGCAGGAACGTGAGTCTGTTTGTTTTCTTCATTATTGTTTTAGTATGGCCATTATCATCACCACCATCATCGGTTGTATGATCATCACCATTATCCTCATTTTTATCATTGAAATCAATTCTTCATTGTATGTCGGAAATGCTAACGAAAAGAATCACCACAGATTGCTGTACACATGAAATCATTTCCAAAACAATTTGCACACTTGTGGCTTAAAGAATCGATTCATGTCACTTACTGTATATTCTACATTTTAAGGGGTACACAAAATAGCACAACAAAGATCAAAGAAATTCGCCTCTTTAAGAAAACAGTAGCACCAGTGCAATTGTAAATTATAAACGCATAAGGACATGGGAATCTAAGACCTTGAGCAAGTGTTCGAACTGATCCGTACATGGGATTTCGAGATGTATGTTAGAGTTTGAGGACACAACTTTTAAAACTGACTGCCTGTCTTGTCGGAAGGTTGTGGGTTCGCTCCCTGGCGGAGCGGGACTTTTTCAAAAATGACCTGGACTCCAGGTCGACCCAGCCTTGAGTGGGTACTGGGTGCAGACCCGGGAAGTAAAGGTGGCCGGCGTGATGTTGACAACATCACCCATTTTATGCCAATTGGTCTTTAAAAATATAGGTCTAGCCCTATATGCACTATACGTCTAAAGGCGTGGAAAAGGAACCTTTACTTAACTTTACTTACCTGTCTTGCATCCGTCGTTAGCCAGTCCATTTCGGTGACTGCCGAAGAAACATTACGTGCATGTGAAAATTATTTTTTTGTTTAGTTTTACTGTGAGCCTGTCCTTAATCATTATTATTGTCATTATAATTGCTAGTGTTATTATTGCTATTACAATTATTATTATTCTTTTTATCATTTTACTGTTCCTGTTTGCCAGCCTGTCTGTTATCCTGCCTGCCAGTCTGTCTTTCTGTTTGCCTATCGTTCTTTCTTGCTTTCTTTCTTTCTTTCTTTCTTTCTTTTTCTTCTTCCTTTCCTCCTACTCCTCCTTCTCCTAAATGTCACTCCTCCTTCTTTTAACCCCCCCCCCCCTCCCCCGTGCCTCTGTTTTAAGAACCCAATAAGCATTGCGAGTATAACAGCTAATATCCGCATTATCATCAGACAACAGAATCACATTCAGGAGAAGTTCTTTAACCCGGAGTCCACCCACAACGACGTCCTCCTACAGGTGATTGAAGCTTCCTCCAATGAGTCAGTCAGTGAGGCTGCTATCGGTACTGCCATCCTGTTAGAGATGAACTACGCCCTGCAGCCCGGTCAGTCACAAGTGTTATTCACTTTTTTTTCTTATTCGTTTTGTTTCGTACTAGAGAAAAGAAATTTAAAAAACTCAACCACGTTTAACCTGCTGTTGGCAGCTTCCGGTTATATTTATGGTCTTGTATTTTGTGTGCATCACTGCCGTGGCTAAGATTATGGTATGTGTGAAAGCTTTCTGACTGTGTGCCGCTATCCTGCTATATAGACCGCTCTACCCTGTCTTTGTTTTGCTTTTATTCGTGTTTTCCTGGTTGCAATGACTCTGTTTACATTCACTTTGAATTTAGTCGCTTGCAGACTTCTCACTCGTGTACTGACAGTCAACTCAACAGATGAAAAGTGGATGACATTGAACGACACGATGCTTTGTCAATATTTATTATTCATTCACTGATTGATGCTTTGGCTAGTACATAGTGAGGCAAAAACATAGTATAGGTGTATAATTTATAGAATAAAGTCAACTTTACCTTCGGACGAACACACAATTGTCCATTTACACAACGGCAGCTGAAAATGACAACTTTCCTTGACAAGCAAACACAAATACTTTCAGCGCTGACTGTGTCCGCCAGTTCTAGCTAAAGGCCAAGTTGGGCATTGAAACTCAAAAACACATCTGATGCACGCTTTAGTTTATAACTTGATACAAACACTTTCTCCACTCCACACGCGCAGTTACTTGACCCAGACGAGACTACCTGCTAGATCTTTCTAGGGTATTAAATAATCTTCTGTCGCCCACCTTCTGAAATGCGCAAACCCTGTGGTCCTCGAGTTTTTCACTTCACTCGCTTCCTTCATTTTGGCCAACCTTTTCTAGTGTTAGAGTCGTCACCAAGTAAATAAAAATGTCTCATTCATATTCATGATATTACGTCATTCCTACTATTATACATAATGTATCAGGAAGAAAATGACTCCCACACTCTCTCCCACCCCTTCCAAAACAAAGTTTTTACATTTTCATGTACATCGGTGTAATCATTATACTTATGTCTTTTCCTGATATATCAGCTTGAGACTTTTGATTGTAGTGATTCATTTTCAACAAATTCATTGCCAAACAAGTTCCCACTTGCATTGAATTTTCATTTAAAACAATGTTACTGTCATCTGTTAGTCTTCTAATGACTTAATGAGAGCCTCACCCCAAGCACTCCCCATTATGTGCGAGAGACCAAAATGTGGCTCTATAAGTATCCTCACCTAGTCTTAACGTCAATATAAACAGAACAACACCCCAGGCACTCTCCATTATGTGCGAGAGACCAAAATGTGGCTCCATAAGTATCCTCACCTAGTCTTAACGTCAATATAAACAGAAAAACACCCCAGGCACTCCCCATTATGTGCGAGAGACCAAAATGTGGCTCCATTGGTATCCTCACCTAGTCTTAAAGTCAATATAAACAGAACAACACTCCAGACACTCCCCATTATGTGCGAGAGACCAAAATGTGGCTCCATAAGTATCCTCACCTAGTCTTAACGTTAATATAAACAGGACAACACCCCAGGCACTCCCCATTATGTGCGAGAGACCAAAATGTGGCTCCATGAGTATCCTCACCTAGTCTTAAAGTCAATATAAACAGAACAACACTCCAGGCACTCCCCATTATGTGCGAGAGACCAAAATGTGGCTCCATAAGTATCCTCACCTAGTCTTAAAGTCAATATAAACAGAAAAACACTCCAAGCACTTCCTGTTTGGTGCAAAAGTCCAAAACTTTGGCTTTAAACCCATGTATGCCCCTTTGAAGTCCCACCCTCGCTATTCACATTCATGGAGGCTCCTACGATGGTAGATCAAACTGTGTATGATTATGTTCTCAACTATATAAGGTTCAAGTTTTGGTTATTTGGCTTGTTTTAAGAAAAATACAATGTGTCTCATCAGCATAAATATTCAAACCTTATGTTAAATAAATATTAAACCCTAATGCACAATTAAATGTTGACATAATACTTTCTGGTGTGGCTTTTTTCAACCTCAGTTTTGTTCTCCTTTCATAACTGGTTATGGTAGAATTTATTCTTTTGTAGAAGTTTTAACTTAAAATAGCCTATTCATTCGATATCATTCCCTTTATATATTATTTTGACAATATTATATATAAAGAATCAATTTATATAACAGTTAAATCAGTTGTATAAGATTCTACAAACGTGACATTATATATCGTAAGTGATTATCTGTTCCCTTGTTAGGTGCAGTATTGAATTTTAAACTGTATAGTTTTGTTAATCCTAAGTTATCTGTCAAAATGGTGAATTCTTTTCCCAATATAATTTTCTGAAATTTTTAAAACAGATGACTAATGCAAGTGCGTCTCGTTCGAATGTGTTATATCTTTGCTGAGTTGGGTGTAATTTTTTGAGATATATATTACAGGAATTTGTATCAACAATTACATCTTCATTTGTCATCAACAAAAATTCTCTGAATTACGATTTAAGTATATTCGTATGAAAAATTCATTTTTTCCTCATCAGTTTTGATTTCATAATCAACATAGAATTGTTCCTATAATTTTATTTTAATCTGACCAGTCTATACCAGGTATGTTTGATTGTGGCAATAAAGACTTGTGATCACAGAATGTGAAAAATGTTTAGAGTACACTATTTGTAAAAGTATTAGTTTCATCAAAGCAATGTTAGTAGTGTGGCACTTCTAAACATTTGACAAGTTTCTAAAATTACAAAGAGTTGCAAATTGTAGCAGGAATTGTTAATATGACATATAGTCACAAAGAGATGTAGAATATGGATACTTTGGATAGTGCAGAATAACACTGGATTGTTTGTTTAGAATGCTATCAGAAGAATTTGCCACATGATAAGTAAGACGTGTTGTTCCAGCCAAATCCAATCACTTGTATAGTATGATTACTTTTTCTGATGTTTCTGCTTATAGAGAAATATGCCGCCTATAAATTTGCTGTCTTTGTTTTAGGATCCCTGCTAAAGGGAATCCAACCGTACAATTGCGTGGCGTTGTCCCCAAATGGAAAACGCATCAAACGGCTGTTAGATGAGAATGGGTAAGCTGTGTATCTTTTTTTTTTTCACTCTTTCACGTTTTTGTTTTACCATCTTCCGAAACGAGAACAGTTATTTGAGATAAAATATCGACATGTACGAACAAAACAAGAAGTTTAAATAAATTGTCATATTCTATGCATATTCACCCCTACAACATACTTTAGGCATCAAAACTCATAAACATAGGCGAGCAAGATATGGTAATGGTAAGGTTAGTATCAGCTTCATAGCAAACGGATCGCCCCATAGTTGCTCGTCTCCTGTGCCAACGAAAAACACACAGAATGTTTATCACAGCCCCTTGTGGAGAGATTAACAAACTGCTGTCTCAGCATATGCACTAGCATACACACGCATTAAAAGCCTACGGTAGTCATCAGAAGTGCTAACACAAACAGTCCGACATTAGAAATGCAGTTCATCTTTGACGATAGCAGAGGTAACCTAGAAATCAGCAGTTGCACTTGCCATCAATTTTAATCGCATAAGGGCACCATAAATATTGTGACGACAAACAAGGCATACAGGCGGGGTAAGTGTATTTTGAAGACACCACCCTACATAGACAAATACATGCGCTCGCGTACACAACTCTACATACACATATAAAGAAGATATTAAAGTCGCACACAAAAACAACCCAACGTTGCGACCAAACTTATTACTGGTCACCACAATAATTAGAGGCTCGCCTGCGCATCGGAAGGTCGTGAGTTCTGTTCCTGACAGAGCTGGACATTTTGTTAAATGACCCTGACTCCCAGGTCGACCCAGCCTTAAGCGGGTGCCATGTACAGTCCTGGGAATTAAAGTCGGCCGGCGTTATGCTTACCATATCACCCAAAAAGTGCCGATTGGTTTATAAAATATAGGTCTAGCCCTATATGCCTAATAGCCTAAAGGCTTGCTAAAGGTTCCTTTGCTTACCTGACTATAATAATGATTAGAATCATAAGCCCATTCCCACATGTGTAACGTAGAGGAAGAAATAGAACGGAAATGCGACAAGTTGGAATAAGAACGGCTATGGTGAAACTAAATATGAAACAATTATCCCACAGCTTATATTCGAGCCCAGAACACTTCTCAAACAATCATTTTGCGATAATTACTGTTTATTTGTAAGACCACAATTTAAAACAATTTCAACTCTTTGGATACTCGGGGAGCATCTTAACCTATGATGACGTAATAACTAGAGCGATTAAAACAAGATTCAGACAAGCCAGTAATTTCACATATCAACTGAACCCAGTGTTTAAACATCTGGCTATCCCCACAGAGACGAAAAGACAAAACTATAAATATATCTTT